GTCGACATTATACCAACAACATATAAGCGTTTCACTACTTTTTTTTAATGTATATGTCTGTAGAATGAAAAAATTATGTTTTTCACATTTCCGTGGACAGAATCCATTCATTTTGTTAACAGGGCTTTTATTGTGTTGCATGTATCAAAGGCGAACTCAGTATAAGATATGGCTGAAAGGCTCTGTGTGTGGTCACCTCAGGCGTGCCAGCTGCAGCCGTCACACACTGCTCATGCATCCTACGTGGACTACCAGGTAGTTAGACCAACTGTCGTTCTCGTGGCGGTAGAAATGATAACCGTGTTCCGTCAACTGCAGGCATGATGCAGTCACACACTACTGTTCAGCCAGATACTCCACTGACAAGATGGTCTCCTTCATGGCTGCTAGGACCAGTTGACTTCAACTTTGCATTGCGTCTCCCCAGAATCAAAAACCTGCAGGTCTTCTCAAAATTCAAGAATACAAAATATTATGAATATGAATTCTCTGGTAGCAATGAGAATTCAATTGAAGCGAGTAACTTCTTCTTTGAATCCTGCTCTGTTTGTTTGGCCTATCAACTCCACAGCCTGTTGAGTGAACGTGAGGCTAAATGCCCCTGAAATGTTTGTTTAAAGTTGCATCTTCAGAGACTTCCAGACCAACACATTATCTCTTTCAGTTTTTCTGCATCAGTAGAAACCCTGACCTCAACTCAGATAAAATCGGATTCCTGGAAAACAGATTTTGGAGCTGCGTGGATGTGAAAGTGAAAAGAAAAGTTAAATGGTAGCAGAAGTTGGCTTTTTTTTTGTTTGTTTTTTTTAGTGTATTTGTCTCTGAGTCTTGGAGTGGTCCTAAGTTGTAGGGCCACAGTTGGTGGTTTCCACAGTGATTCAGTGTTTGCTGTAGACACACAAATCAGCGCAGACGTGAATTGCCTGTCAGTTGGACCCTTTTGGATCAGCACGTTTTGTTGTCACGGTGTTCAACAAAGGCTTTTCTTGCACTCATCCATTAGTGTTGGATTTGATCGATGGCTAAGGAGCTGAGGCCTGTAGTATTGTTTTATCTTCCTCTTAAACTTCCACCCCTTTCTGTCTTTCTCTCCCTCTGTCATTTAACACTTCAACTTACCCTGCAGAAAACTTTTTTTTTTTTTTTTTTCCCACACCCAGTAAATAATCTCTTCAGTAACAGATGGCGGGGTCGACCTGTATTTACAACGGGGTCACCTGGTTTCACTCGGTCTCAGTTCACACGTGCGCACAGCTGTTGCCTCTCGAGCGTCGCCGTTGCTAACGTCGGATCACAAAGCCCTCCACATTCCCTGAGCGGCGCCTGGTACCTGCACTGTAGCTGTTCTCTCAACTTCGGCTATGCTTACATGGAGCCTAATGTCCCCAATATAAGCGATTTAAAAGCCCCAAAAGAGTAAAAATGCTCCGTGCGAACACCTCAATCAGAATGAACAAGCCAGAGGAATAATTTCCTCTTCATAGCCCGACCAAAAGAAAGATGGTACCATGTGAACAACCTGATTGCTTTCTGGCTGCATACTTTCTGCGCATCCCCTCCGTCTTGATGTTAATGCGTGGGGATGTACGTTTCTCCACTTCCAGAAAATGGAAATGGTTTTTGATACAAACTCTTGAAGAACTGAACATTATTGGGCGGCTAGAAGGTAAGAAAATAAGTAACAACCTGTTTAAACAAGTCCATGAAACACATGCCTTTCTTTCTGAATGGGTTAGTAGCCACTGAGGAAGACGGATGCATGATGGGCACCACTTTTGCGCATGTCACACAGCTATTCAAATTGAAATGCATCGGCGCACGTAATCACCAGGCCGTCTCAGATCACACGCCATGTAAACAGTTGACCCGGAAAGTTCAATCAAAATGATTTCAATCAGAATCAAATAAAAGTAACTGCAGCTTCTGTCAGCACTGAAAACTGTGCTGGCATTTTATTTTAAAAATAGGACCATTCACTGCTGTCCTTCTCCATTATGATGGCTTTGACCCCACACAGTTACTCCAGAATACTGTGACAGGGTTTTAATAACCAGGCTGTAAGACCTGCAATTAAATCTGCTCCACAGACGACTTAAAGAGCTGTTAAAAGAATGATTTTCTTTTGGGCTTAAATGGAAACTTTTGTTGTTCCATGATGTTCTCTGCTGTTTGAGAGGCATTGGCCGTGAATACTTGTCATTTTTGGAATTGTGTTATGGACGGTGGTTCAACCTAAAAACAGAACCTCTGCAATTATCAGCTTCAGGGTCCAAAACCCAGGCAAAAACTGTATTATGCGAAAACTTGTTTGTGTCTTTGTCTGTGGTGTTGGCAGGAAATATCAATCATTCTTTTTTCACAGCAACAAGTGCTTTGCCAAATCACCAGTTACAGTCATAATGAAAGCCAGTATGCAGACATTACAGAGCCTCAAACATTACCGCAGATTGCCTCAAACAATCCCTGGTTCCACCACTCTCATGTGAATTTGTAACTTTACATCTTGTGGCATGAGGAGTGAAAAACAAGGCTTAAGCTTTTCACAGAAGAAGAGCACAGAAGAACTTGTTGTATGTGTGTTGTATGTGGTGAGACTGAAATATGTCAACTACAGGATGAATTGTGAGGAAATGTTGCACAATCCTTCATGGTCCCCAGAGGATGAGGCGTAACAGCTTTAGTGATCCCCTGACTTTTCCTCTATTTCCTTTCCTCTAGGCTATTAGTTTAGTTTAGATTAGATTAGATTCAGCTTTATAGTCATTGCACAAAGTAAAAGTATTACGACGACGAAATGCAGTTAAGCTTCTAACCAGAAGTGCAAAAAGCAGTGCAGAGTAATGTGCATACAGGGATATATTAAAAAAAAAAACATGATAGCAGGGTATATACAGTATGAATAGCATTAACTGAACGGAGTGAAGTGAATACACAAAGATATTAAGTTAAGATATTTACAGTATGAACAGATTAGCATTAAATGCTAAAGTGCGGATGTAAGTACAAGTAATTAAATTGGTTGACATAATATACATATATGTGTATATATTCAGTCCTATTTTCAGTATAACACAAAGTCTTTCAGCTGCAGTCCTCCTTCATTTACAGTGTGCAAGCACGTGTGTATGTGTGAACATGTGTCTGCATGAGTATGTGGTATGCCCTACATCCCAGAGGAGGTGAATGCTAGCAGGATGAGTTTCTAGGTAATGGGGATGTTTTTCTGCTCTTGCCTTCTCTAACCCCGCCCCCCTCCTTTTCTTACTCAGAGGAAATCAGTGTAAACACAGGCAGAGGGTCAGGGCCAGCCGGCACCACACAAAAACTGATAAGAAGAAACCACATGGAGACAGCAGCTGTTCCTTCAGCAGTTAGAGGTTTTACACTCCTCGATCCCTTTCAGCGAGCAGATCAGCGTGCCCACCTTTGAACTCTTTGAAAGTTAACACAACACTCGAGACAGTAATGCACTTTTTGGAGACCCATCGATGGCCTAGTTTGGGGGAGATCTGTTATGTTCTTATCAGAACGGGGAAAACACACTTTCCTCTTATCACAGTATGTCAGAGGCCATGTATGCTTTCTTCTAACTGCTTTGCCTTTTTATTGTCAGGCCCTATAAGTTGTTTTTGGAGTTGAAATATTTACTTTACATCGACAGTACCTCTGACCTAGATACCCTGTTTTGCCTTTCCACTTGAGGGAGCGAGCAGATGAAATGGCTCAACTTTAAGTTCAACATGGGCTGTTTACACTTCCTCTGATTTGTGTTTTTCTCAAGCTCTTTGAATGTTCTCACGACTGTTTATTTTGGAACATGAAATGGAAGGGAAAAGCAGCAAATAACCCACAAATGTTTGATGTCTTTTAATTTGACGAGCGGGTACAGCAAGAACGTGATTATCAGAACAGTTTACGGTCAATGTGTTGACCCACTTTTTCCTTGAAAATGTGTTCTTCTCTGTAGAGCTTCCGGAGAACTGGACTGACACACGGGAGACCATCTTAGAGGGCATGACGTTTAACCTCCGTCACCTGGGCATGACACTAGTGGACCAGCCCAAGGGAGAGGAGCTGTCGGCCGCTGCAGTAAAGAGGATTGTTGCCACGGTGAGAGCTGGAGTAACAATGATGGTGTCATTCAGGATGTCATACAGTCAACAGGATTACTACTACTTTAACTATCTGTACATGTTAATTTATCTGTAAATCTACATGCATTTGTTTCACACATAAAACAGTGCCATTGTTGGAGCACTGTGTCTCTACAGCATCCATACTTTTCCAGAACAGCTTATATTAATCCCCCGAATCACATTCAAAGCTCATCCAGTGGGTTTTCGAATGTTAAATAAGCCGAGGGTTTGTGGAATTTCCCAAATCACAAAGGATCATGTCATTCCTTAGTTGAGTTTGAATTAATGTACATTCCCATCCATATTGGTCACAAAGCAGAAATGCTCCTTTTTCATTTCAAGTATTGGAAATGCTGAACGATCATATCTACACTCTACAGCCTGTTATTAATGATCAAATTTACATTTGTTGTTGTGGTTGACAACATGCATCCTACGCTTTCTACCTCATCTTTTAATCGGCTAATACGTAAGAAGATACATTTTCTTTAAAGTAAAATAAATTCGACTCGATTTCAAATGTTATTTATGCTCCGCTGAGACCAGACAGCCAAGTGTGCCATTAAAGTGTGTCCCATAGAAGCTGACCACCATTTTGAGTAAGTGCTGTCCTGTATTGTCAAGAACAACTTGTGGAAAATAAGTGGGAACCCTGTAAGAGCTTAAAAGAATCTTGTGATCACTCCACACAGATCAGGTTTTGAGGTTCAGATGGTTCAGATGGTTCATAGGTTGCCTTCCATGGAGTCCGCCACACTGAACCCCAATGTTTCTCCAGTAGCCCAGAAAAGAAAAACCACACTGGCACTAGATAGGGCCTTAAATGTTTTTCGCACTCACCGTAGTTTCTCTCTCACCCTTGGAAGAAAAAGGTGATCTGCACTGGTAGATGCCACAAAATCCTACACACTGGTCTAAATAATTTTGAAGCCACTCTTTGTGCTGTACTTGATCCCATAGTTTGACACACTGACTGTAAACCAAACTTGTCTTTTAATAATTGTATCCGTACAGGCTAAAGCCAGTGGGAAGAAGCCGCAGAAAGTTGCTCTCAAGGTTTCCCCTCAGGGAATCGTCCTGTGCGACAGCTTGACCAATAAAACCCTGGAAAATGTCTCCATATACAGGTATGTGCAGAGCAGCAGACGTTTGGCAGATAAATGTCCAAGATAAATGTGCTGTTGCTCTTCTGAAGCTGTTGTTGACGTGGCATGGGGCTCACCCTGTGAACTCTCCTTGACTTCTTCATGTGCTGTTTCTCTAACCTGTCACCTCTGGTCTGCAGAATATCCTACTGCACAGTGGACAAACTGCATGATAAAGTGTTTGCTTATATCGCTCAAAACACCCTCAATGGGACCCTGGAGTGCCACGCCTACCTCTGCTCTAAGAGGAAAGTGGTGAGTTGTTGGTCTACAGTCTCAGCGTTTTTCTGTTTAATTTAAGATGAAGATGGATTCAAATCCAGTGCAGTGATTTTTGACTTTTTGGAATAGACACCGTTCACCCTGCTCTTCTTCAGTCTTTCTCTTCCGTAGCTCTCCTTTGCACTCATCCCCCGTTCTTAAGAGGAAACCCTAGAAGGCAAGCTCCTCAAGGCGTCTGTCATCTTCCTGTGCTCCTGTGTGTTGAAAACAGAAGGGCACTTTTCCTCTCATCTTACCTGCTTCCACACTCATCCCCTGCTCTCCCAGGATAGCATGATAATACCCTACTTCCTTAATACTCGCTTCAGTCTGATCATGGTTACGAAGACAGTGGTGATGACCTCCTTCTGTCCTCTGCTGTAGCAGCTCTTCAGTCTTTCATCATGCCTATCATTCGTCTTATCCGAGTGTCACTGGGGTTGGTAAACACTAATGCACTCTTTTTCAACTGTGCTCTGTAACAAAGTGTATTTTCTTCTGTTCTCCAGGCTCAGGCAGTGGCGTTGACAGTAGCCCAGGCTTTCACAGTAGCATTTGAACTCTGGCAAGTAGCCAAAGAAGGTAGGTGCTGCACTCTTCACCCTCCATGTACTGGAAATGACACACAGACCATCTCAAGGAATTGTCTTATCAGTGTGCTTGTGTTTGCACTGAATCTGCCTTGATGCTCCAAGGACGTAGATATCAGTTGTAAAGTTGTCGTAAATAGCTTTTGATATAATTGTGTTATGTCTTTGTACATCTCCTCTCCATTCTAGAGAAAGGAAAAAGAGTGAAGTCTGGTTCAGCTGGAGAGGCCGGCAGCAGTTCCCATTCAGAGAGATCGAACAGCTTGGGGAGCCTGAAGGGAACAGGTGAAACAAAAAAACAAGAACACATGCACAAAATACTCTGTGTACACATCGATTTTTTTTCTTCTTCCTTTTTATGTGGTTCTTTCTTTTCAATGCCAGTGTCCACACATGTAACGCACACACAACCATCAAACACAGAGACAAAACTTGCCAACATGTCTGTTTTAGTTCTTTATAATATGGCAATAAAATACCTTAAATAACAGGAAATGATCACAAATACAGACCAAAAGCCAATAGCCACCTTCCACTTCTACCTTTACAATAGCATGACTGCAGGAAAGAAAGAATTAATAAATGTTTCCAATGTCATTGTCATTATTATCTTATCCCCCCTGCTAGAAAAATAAAGGATTTATGGTAGAAGCCTTTCTTCCCATGAGCCAATTTTTAAATATTTTGCTCCACTAGTGTTAAAGCCATGCCAGATAGTTGTCTTATAGGACAGCTAACTGGCATGGCTATAGACTTTTTGTCTTTTTTAAATATTTTACATTCTGTAGACAGATTACCTGTGTATGCTATAACATGAATGAGTTGTCCTTTTCTTCTCCTCTCAAGTAGATGTTGCCACAGACAACCTATTGGACTTTGAGGACAGTGGGAACGTGGCGGTGGAGACCAATGGGAATGTAGAGGAGGATCAGCTGGATAATCACAGGCCTTCTGAGGCCAACAATAACCCTGCCTGGGTAAGATCCTCCTCTGGTGCTATATATCTATGGACAAGCTTAAAACTTAAAATAGTCTTTATAGGTCATACATAAGGTCTTACATGTAGTTATATGAAGTAACTTGTTTGCTCCAGACTACATATGTATGAACTGGGTGAATTAAGCAAAGATTTTTCTTCTTCTTCCAGGAAATAGAAGATGGTTTGGATGATGCCTTCTCCAGGTGAGATATTTACCTTAATAGTGAGAGAGAGAAAGCAGAAAAAGTGAAATTATTCCTAGTTGATTCTCTCTGCTGCTTGTTAAGATAAAATACTACACCACCAAACTCTGCCTTGTCAAATCCTTCAGTATACTGTAGTTCATTCTCATACTGCTTGGCATTGCAGCGCCACTTACTGATGATTTCTGTGTACTGCAGAACACAAATCCTCCTGTCCCTGATTGTAAAGATAGTGAAAAAATGAAGGGATAAATGTAGAGAAATTACACAATAACTAAGAAATAATTTGATAGCTAAACTTTCATCTGTCCTCAATTTACTGTGTGTTTGTGTCTCCAGCTGTGCTCTGGATAGCTATGGTTCATTTCCAGGTAAAGTTGAGTACTACTGTCAACTGTTAGAAGCCTTACTTTAGTGTAGTAGTCCTAATTACTAACCTAACCATAATTCATTCCATTCAATCACCTCCAAACCCAATACCACTGTTTACAGGTCAGTATTGTTAGTGTAATACAGCTTCCTGTGTCCTCCATTTCCTCCCAGATGGAAATTGTCGACTGGGTTTCGGAAAAGAAAGCTGATTCAAAGTATTGAGTTACAGTCAAAGTGAAAAATGTCTTTGTCCCTTCCCATCCCAACATCACTAGAATTTTTTTCCCCCCCAATAGCTCTTTCTTTATAGTCTTTGTTGTCTTTCTATGAATGGAGTGAATCAGAGGGAATAATGTGCCTCCACTATGCCAAGCGCTTTTTTGTGCAGTTATTCAGTTTGTGGTTGCCGGTGTAAAAGTGGAGCAGTGGGTCACGGCAACCCATTTATCCCACGACTCAAATGAATTGAATGTCTTGAAGTAATCCTGTTGACCTCTGCCCGGACTTTGTGTATATTATTATCCCAGAGACAAAAGGCAGTTTGCAGCCAAACTGAGGGATCTTAATTAGGAGAGACTGAAGCTTTAGTCATACAGACAGGTCTGGGAGGATCAGACTGCTGTGGAGGAAGTATTACAATCACTATTTGAGCCAGACTTTAAAGGGAAAAGCTAAGGAGCAACACCTACCTTAAGCTAAGTGACCTTAGTACTAAAGTCCAGGGAAAAAAAAGCACTGGGGTAAGAGAAGAAGTAGGTAATAGTAAGACATCAAGTACTTGCGTTACTAATTGAAAAAAGCATCTTATTTCTATTTATTTAGTAATTTGATTATTTGATACACTTTAACTCAGCCAAGAAGATGCGCCCGCCTCCCGTGCAGCTCTTACTCTGAAAAATATTTGTATTATGTTCATTATCCCAGGCCTCTTCATTATGACCCTCATGGCAAAACTGATACTTTGTCTTAATTAGTCTCAGTCTTCACACACATTTCACACGTTCTCTAGAGGATGTTTAGATTTACTTCATCTCACACCATTTTGGCAAGTTTAAAATCTTGATTATGTCATAACTTTATTAATTCTGCTGTCATTAAGGATACGGCTGTGATATTCTATATTTTTCTTTTTGTCAACAAATCCGAGAAAAGACTAAAAAGAACAATGAATTGATCTCACTAACAAGTATTACCTGTGTATAACTGACCATATTTCTTTGTGGCTCCATAAACACTGGCACAGTAGTCCTGCTGTTGTAAAGGTAGCTCCCTTGAAGAGATGAGGGACCTGTCACTATGGTTCAAAGCCAACAACCTCTTACTGAATGTCAGCAATACCAAGTAGCTGGTTTTGGATTGTTTGAGGAAGCAGCAGAGGAACTATACACCCCTGAGAATGGATGGGACACTTGTGATGAGATTGATCACCTCCGGAGGCCGTTACTTGGCCTCTCCATTTGCTGCACTTTTACACCAGAACTCAACTCAACTTCATTTATGTAGCACCTTTCATGCAAATATGCTGTCTGAAGTGCTTCACATATGCAACTGAAAGTGCAGTGCAGTGTATTCAGCAGTAGAGTGATGTGATCCATTTTCCTAGTTGTAGTTAGTATAAAAGACTCTGAACTAGCTGTAGTGTTCGTATGGACTTTTCGAGAAATCCAGTTAAAAGGGAATTACAATAATCGAAACAACTAGAAATAAAAGCATAAGGGAGGTGCAGAACAAGAGCAAGTAGAATTATGAAGGATCCCCACCACCACTGCAATAGATTATTTCAGTTTCTGTGCTCTGGAAAACGCCAACGCAGAGAGACTCAGAAAAAGCTTCTGAGTCTCCTCTGGCCATCAGGGTGATGAACTCTGACATTTTTATATATCCTTGTCTAACTCATTATGTTCCACTGCACTGCTCTACACATTGCAAATCTGCACTTCTGTCATATGGATTTTTTTCCTTTCTACATATATCTATCATTTTGTATTTGGAAGTTTTATACCTTTTTATATGTCTTTATGTTTCATACTTGTCTTTTAGCATTGCCTTAGCAGAACGCCACATTGTATTTCTCTACACGTGTATTTAACATATAAACCTATACATATAAATAATTAAATCCTAAATACTCTAATAGCACACCAAAACTCGGTCTGTGGCTAAAACTAGTCGCCCAAAAATGCACTGTTCACTCCTGTTTGCGTTAAAATGTGTAACGATTTCAGCAGGAGCTGATTGACATTGGGTGGCACAAACAGGGTTACCGATCTTAGTAAAGTGTTGGTTTCAGTCTATCAATGGGATTTGGTGACAAATAGAAAACTATATAATACAAGCCTTATACTTTCATCAGTTTTTAACATTGTTTTTTTTTTTTTTTTCCCCCAATCAAATATGAGTATTTGCATATAAATGACAGCCCGGTGGCTGTCAAAGAAGAGAGGGAGTTCGGGAGAGAGAGACAAACGACAAATGAAGATGAAGTGTCATGAGAGTAAAGTGCAGACGAGACAGGAGAGAGAGACAGAGCTGCTTTATCTGCTTGGGAGGAATGGGTAGGAGGATGGGAGGTAAATGTCACTGCAATCATGAAATAAGCTGGGCAGCTGGAGTCACTGTGCAAAAATATCAATCTTTTCATCTACATTAAATCCTACACTTCTGAAAACAAGACAAAATTATGCTAATGTCGGGTTCCTTTTCTTTAAATTAAAGAAGTAGCTCTCTTTCTTCCTGCAGTTTATTACAACTTGGGTTCTATTTTTGATGCGTGGGCCATCAGTCAAATATGTTATGATAACATTGTACTCACTAAACTAATTGCTTAGAACTTGGAAGGCGACTGCATAACAAAAAAAACAATCATACAGGTTGCATACAAGCAGACAGATTAGATAAAAAGATTCATTTAGCTATTATGATTGCTAAAAATCCCTCATTGCACATTAAAGGTCAGTGCATGCTATTATGGTAATTCAGGAGAAAATTGGCAGCAAGCGCTGAACCTCGACACAACACAAACCACACACACACACAGCACTAAAAAACAACACACACACAACACCACACGACAGCACACAGCACATAAAGAAACCTTCCAGTTCACCATAACATAAAGGGTGCACAGGTAACAGTGACGCATCCGGGATCGAAGTTTCCGTTTTTCACGCTCCACAAAAAAAATCCTCCAATGGGTACTTCGCTGCAGCCGTTCACTAGAGGTGTACAGCTGGTACGCTGCCAATGGCAACAAACAATTTGCTGGTGTGTACTCGTGTATTGTTTAGCAATTGGAGAAAAGCAGTGGCAGTAAAAACTGCTCAGCATCCGAATAAACGTTTATCTATTTAAGGCAAACTAACTCACAGGGCTTTGGCTTCCAAAGAAAGATTAATCTATGGTGACCTAGGCGATCAAATGTCTTCTAATTCGCCCACATATCTAATAATTCCCGTGCATAATGTGCTCTGCAGCCTGCATCACTAATCGGAGCATTCCGATGAGAAAAAAATGGTGAACATTTTAATTTGCATTGTTCTAGATACTCAGAATAA